GGGGGTCCTGGGGGGGTGCGCACTGTAGGTCTGGGTTTGTTTGCTCAGTGCAGACATTTTTAAAACCTAATGTAATCGGATTAATCCGTTTTCTTTGAGATTTCTGGGCTTTGTGTCTGGCTGAGAAAGGCCGTCCCTCTGCTTGTTCCTGCCCATCTGTGTCCGGTGTGTCTGCGGCGGGCGGTGGGCCCTGCCCTGTGTCCCAGGCAGCCGGCCCCCTACAGCGGCCACTCTCGTCTTCCTCTGGCGTCTGCTGACCACTGGCCCCTGGGCTTCCCGGCCCCGCCTCACTCTGGACACTACTCAGTTCCACTCCTCAGGGCCCTCCTGTGTTCCCTAGGCTGCCCCCCCCCCGCCCCGTCCTTTCCGTGCATCCCACAGCCCTCCCCACCCTTCCCTTGTTGCTGCGCCCTCTGCTGCCCACGCCTGCTGGTGGGTGTGCGGGTGCCAGCATCTCTCCTGGGAGGTCCCCCCGCCCCGGATCTGATCACATCGCTCATTTGTCTGAAAGCCTCTGGCTCCCTCGGCCTGCTGGGCAGAGGCCAGCTCCTCGGCCAGGGCCAGAAGGCGGAGTGCGCTGTACACCCCTGCCCTCCCAGCCCGACCCGATACCCGGCAGGCGTGCACACCTGCCCCCCAAAACAGAGTGCTTAAAGTCGCTTTGAGGTTTGTCCTCACAGGCCTCCAACGTCAGACAGCAGAAACGGTGAGGCGAAGCCCCCATCCCGCCGCCCTCCGCCCGCCCTGTGACCTCCGCCCGCCGTGCCGCGGGCTCCTTGCTCGCAGGCTAATCCGGCGTTCCGTCCCTCTCTACACGAGAGGCGGGCAGCGCCCACAGGCGTTGTGCCTTTACCCAGACAAACGCCGTTCCTGGCGCCCTCCCCAGGGCAGTGCACACGGAGCTCCCGCGCATCGGCCCCCCCACCCCGGGCTTCTTTAATCTTTCCCCTTTGACAGACTGGGAGGTCGTTTCCACCCTTTCCTGTCCTAAAAGTGATGCAGCGAGGGGCCTGACGGTAGTGCTGCGGGATTAGCTTCCGGAACACTCCAGAACGGGCCTGCTGGGGGCCGGCGGGAGCCTGGGGCCGGCCGCCCTGCACCCGCGGGACGGCCACGGTGAGGGCCCCACAACAGCACCCAGGGCCACTCTTCCCCGGGCGTCCACACGGGCCCTTGTCGGTCACGTGGCCTCAGCACCGCAACACGCCGCCGGCTCTGCCCCACCGATCTCGAGCCCGCCCAGCGGCCCGTCTTGGACTTCTGCCAGGGCTGCTTCCTCCTCCTCCTCCTCCTCCTCCTCGCGGCGGTCTGGGCACACAAGCCCGCCCCACGGCCACCCCACGACCTCTGCCCGCCCACCGTGGACCTTGCTAAAAGCAGGGCCTGCCCTCGTTGCTCTTGTCCCCCGTCCTTAGCCCAGGCGGGCCCGGGTGGAGCAGGACAGGGAGCGCGGCTTGTCGAGGGACCCGAGCGCGCACCCCGGGCGGGTGGCCGTCAGGAGGCGGGTTCCGCCTCCTGCGCCGGGTGGGCCACCTCTCCGCGGCCTGCTGCCGCGCGTGCTGCGGCTCAGGGTCCCGGCTGGCCCTCAGCAGCAGGAGGGGGCCCGCTGGGCCCCCGGCCCCCTCAAGACGTGACCGAAGGCCCCCCTTCCAGGCGCCAGTGCTGGGCTGGCCAGACGGACAGCAGTCTGCCCTCACTGCGCCCGTCCTCGGCGGGGCGGGCCGGCCCAGGATGCAGAGCGCCTGGCCTTCGCCTGCCTGGAGGGCCACTGCGGGGCCCTCGTGCGTGCCGGGTGGGCAGGTTCGCAGGGACATCCTTCTGGGCGACCTGGGTGGGGCAGGAGCCTGCGTAGGTGCTGGGGCCCCGGCACCCGGTGAGGTTACAGCGCCCCCTGGAGGCTGTGCTGCCACGGGTGCCCTGACTGCCCGGGAGTGGAGGACGGGTCCCCCGCCCTCTGCTCCCTCTCGCCTGCGGCGCTGACCCTTAACCCGAGCAGCGTCCACTCTGCGTCAGGGGTCTGCTGACCGTGACACAGCCCCTGCTGGGGCTTTCACATGGCCTCATCCAGACTCGTCTGTGTGTGTCTTTTTGCAGGATGATGGCAAGCTCCGCTTCTCCTAGAACCGGGCGCTGGCGGGGCTGCCCGGGGTTTGCTGCCACAGATACAACGCTGGTCCCCCAGAGGAGACCAGCTCTCCCGGCCGCAGGGGTGGGAGCCTGCCCCACAGTCGCGAGCAGGCAGATGCGAGGCCCCCGCCGCCGCCGGGAGGTGGACGGGCCCTGGGCTCGAGGGCCGGGCTGTGCCGTCTCGGGGCATCGCTCTGAGGCTCTGCCTGCCCCACCCGCCCTCCCTGGCCCTGTCGCCTGCGCCCACAGATGCTGCGAAGGGGGCTTGAGGGGCAGTGTGGTGTGACGGCTACCAGGGGCTCTGCGTTTAGGCACAGCCTCAGTTTCCCCACGTGGAAAACAGGGACAGCAACAGGGACCAGCCAGGGCAGGACCTGCCAGGACATGGCCTAGGCTGGGGTCTGGAGCCCAGGGCCTCCCGTCCCCAAGGCCAGGCGTCTGGCAGTGTGCTCCGCAGTCCTGGGGACTGCTGGAGGTTCAGGCTGAGGGGGAGGGGCAGTGGCCACTGTCCCTCTGGCAGGCTCCTCCTGCCTGGCTCCACACCCGACACGGCTGGCCTGGGCACAGAGCTGAGACCTGGGGAGAGTCGCCCAGATAATCTCTGTGTGACATTCCAGGGAGGCTTGGGGGAAGCTCTGTAGACGGGGCGGAGCTGCCCTGCTGAGCCCCCTCAGCCTGGGCGTGGTGTGGTGTGGTCGCCGCTTGGTGGGACCCCACTGGGCTGGGCTGGCCCCCCTGGCTCTGCCGGGGGCCGGGCTCCCAGGCCGGTGGCTGTTCCCCGACTGTGGCCGCAGGAGGAGGCCAAGTGCGGTTCGGGCAGCAAGCAGGGTTCAGGGGCTCCCGCTGTGGGGAGCCCGCCCCGGGAGCTGCGTGGCCCCCTCAGTGGAGACGGCCCCAGGGCAGAGTGCCCACGTGGCCACCCAGGGCACCTCCCTTCTCCCAGAGGCTGCGGTCTGGCTGCCCGGGGCCGCCCGGAGGCCGCCTCCCGGCCGTCTCCAGCAAGGAGTGCAGCCGAAGGGCCCAGAGGGGATGTCGGCTCAGTGAGGAGCCACCAGAGTTGGGGGCAGAGGGCCTGAGAGCCGCCTGGTGCCGGGGGCTGGCGGGGGCCAGGTGCACGGCCTCAGCCAGTGCCCTGCGCCCGCCCCCCCCACAGCGGGGCGGTGGGGGGGGGGGCTGTCCAGAACCTGCTCCGAGGAGGCCCCACAGAGAAACGGCCTTCCGACCAGAGGACCAAAGGCAGCACGTGCCCCGCGGGCAAGGCCAGTCGCTGTTCCAGGCTCTTTTCTGGGGGGCGTGGGCGTCGGAGTCCCTGTTCTTGTGCAAAGCGATGGAGTCTCCGGAGTTTTATTAAGTGGCACGAGGGCAGGCGGTGGCTCTGCCGTTGGCAGCGTCCCGGAGAGCGGGAGCCAGCCCCTGGACCCTGCGCTGCGCTCCACGGGGGCGCCGCGGCCCTGGGCTTGCGTTCTCGTGGGTCCCGCCGGGACCGAGGCTGAGGCCTGCACGCCCTGCCCCCGGCTCCCGGTGCCCCGGGTGGGCTCAGAGGCTGCCCGCCGAGGTAGAAGTCCCGCCTCGCAGTTGTGTGGCGGTGGGGGGGTGGGGTGGGGTGGAGGGGGGGTCCCAGCTTTCAGGCGGAGAGGGGAGCTGTGAGTGGTGTGCGGGGTGTGAGGGCTCTGCTGCGTCCCGGGGTTGTCTGGGGCTGGCAGGTGCCTCGGGAACTGGCTCCCAGCCTCTCTGCCTGTAGAGAGGGGCTGTGTTTCCGGGGGCAAAGGCAGGACTTGGGGGACAAGCAGCGAGTCTGGACAGCTTGTCTGCCCCTGGTCCCCGGAGTCTGCAGAGGTGCTGCCTGGAAGACTCTGTCCTGGGCCCTGTCAGCCCCAGTCCTGTCCTGGAGAAGGCACCGAGGCCCGGCTTGTGGAGGTCGGGGGCACGGTCGGGGGCAGGCTGGCCCTGTTCAGTGAGGCGCCAGGTGCACCGGAGGCCCTGTGGCAGGAGGGACAGCTCCCGTCCAGAAATGAGGGGGTACGCACCGAGTGTTCTCCACGCAGGTGTGGCCAGAGGACGCTGTGTCGGTGTCTAGGTGTCCCCAAGGCCTGGCTGGGGGAGGGTTGGTACCCCCGGGGAGCTGTGGGCCAGCTCCTTCTGGGTGGAACGCAGCCAGGGCCTCCGGGGGCGCGTCTCCTGACCACACGCAGCAGCCACACCAGGGGTGCTGGGCAGGGCCGGCCACGGCGGACTCTCCGTGGCCGTGCCCCAGCCTAACTCCTGCTTGTCTTGGTGCAGCAGATCCCCGCCCAGCAGGCGACCTGGCCCATGTCCACACGATGGGGACTTTTATTGCAGCCCAGGATGGCTGGCCAGGGCATTCGCTGGACTGAGCTGGGGACTCGTGGAGGAAGGGGCCCAGCTGCTGGGCAGTGAGGAGCTCGGTCTGAACGGGCTGGGGCCCTCCTTGGCCTGAGGCCCGGGAGGCAGGGCCTGCCCTTGGGGCAGTTCCCACAGAGCCCAAGGACAGGGCGACCTTGCCCGGCCCAGCCTGGGGGCAGGCAGGTCAGACGCCGTGGGGGCCGGGGCCTGGGGAACCTGGGGAGAACAGCTCCCCAAGCAGCGGGTGCCTGGCCCGGAGGGCAGCCTCCTGCTCCTGTCTCAGCCCTTTCCCGGTTCCTGAGACGCGATGTGAGTCAGGGTGGGGCAGAGCAAGCCCCCCCACCCCCGCCAGGACGGTCGTCTAGCAGGGCTTACTGTGGGCACCTCGGGGGGGGGGGGGGCGGCCCTCCCACAGGGCAGAGCCTGGGCTCACCTGCGAGCCACTGGGAGCCCAGCCAGCCCCGCCCTGAGCCAGCCTCCCTGTGCCTGTGCTTCCTCTTCCTCCTCAGGCCCCTGGAGCCGCCTGCTGCCTGCGGCCCGGCTGCCCACCCAGGACTCCTGCAGAGGGGACGCCCCCCTGGAGACAGCCACCAGACCAGCTGTGCGCGGTGCCCTGGTTGCTCGGAGCCTTGCCCCGGGCACCGGGCCGGGGACCCCAGGACGCCCAGCACACACCCTGCTCTGGCCTCGCTGGCCGTGGCGCCCGCCCTCCTGCCACACCCCCTCGCCGGCACCCACACACTGACCCTGGGAGGCAGACAGGAGGCGACGGAGGGCAGGGAAGGCTGGCCCATGGCTGCTCCCAGGCCCCGCCCGGGCTCCTGAGGCCCGTAAGGAGAGGGGGCTCCTAGGACTCCCGGGGGCCTCTCTGCCCATTGTCCTGCCCCCCCACCCCCGCCCCTTCGGCGAGGTGCCAGGAAGCTGCAACTTTATTATCGGGGCAACTGGCTGCAGACCCGGGACTGCGGCGGACAGGCCCTGCGGCTCCCTGCCGCTGTGCACCCTGACCCCAGGAGGGCGGGCGGGAGGCCCTGCCCTCGAGCAGCTGAGCAGCCGGGGCTCCGTAGAGGCAGCTGCCCTTTCTGCCCAGAGCCTGTGCCCCTCGGGCTGCCCGGCCCGGGGCCTGGTCACGGGCTGGAACCTCCGGACCCAGCCTTGCCAGGGGCAGAGGGCACCAAGCCTTGAGGGGATGCCCCCAAGGGTGCCAGTCCAGCCAGCTGCCCCACCCCTCAGGCCCAGCCTGGCCCCCTCGTTCCCCCGCCCGGCACCCCGTGCAGCCCCCCTGGCAGGCAGCCCCCGCCATGGCCGAGCACCTGGAACTGCTGGCGGAGATGCCCACGGTGGGCAGGATGAGCGCGCCGGAGCGGCTGAAGCACGCCCAGAAGCGCCGGGCCCAGCAGGTGAAGATGTGGGCCCAGGCTGAAAAGGAGGCCCAGGGCAGGGAGGGCCGCAGGGAGCGGCCGCGGAAGGAGGCGGCTGCCGGCAGGCCCCGGAGGCGGGTCCTCTTCCCTGCCAGCGTCACCCTGCTCGAGGCCGCTGCCCGAAACGACCTGGAAGAAGGTGAGTGTGGCTGACCCCAGGGGCGTGCACCGCCCGAGCCTTGTCCTTGGTGCCCTCGCACGACCTCGAGAGACCTGCCGAGGACACGGCTGCGTCTCATGGGGCTCGGGGTCTGGCCCGGCCGTGGGCTGCAGGCGAGGGGGCAGCATGCGGGGCCCCCGCCGCGGGGTCGGGGCCGAGGTGGGCGGGCCCCCAGGAGCCTGAAGTGCCCGGGTGCGGCCCCGGCGGGCTGGGGGCAGCCCAGTCTGCCTGCCTCTTGCCGGGGCACAGCGCGCAGGGCAGGAGAGTCTCACCGTCAGAACCTCCCTGGCCCGAGCTTTGGCAGGCCCCCGCTCTCCCTGGGGCTCCTGGGGGTTCTTCTTGCCTCCCCAAGGGCAGGGTCCTCGGCCGCAGAGGCCGGAGTGCGGGAGGCCGGGGCGAGGGAAGTGGACAGGGCGCAGTGGGTGTGCCCGGGACCCATGGAAGGGGGCGCCCGTGTGCGGCCTGTCAAGCCCCCTCAGGGAGGTCCAGGCCACCAAGGGGGTCCCAGGGGACCTTGGCAAGAGCCTGGGCCCTGGGTGGGACTTCTGAGGAGTGAGGGCGGGACCACTTCTGCTCATGGGGAGACCCCGGGGGGGGGCAGCCTGGGGGCCTCAGGCCCCCCACTCCAGACTGCAGCAGGGCGGGGAGCCCACAGTGCGGGGAGGTGGCCGCAGGCACCGGGGAAAGGCGGTGTGTGGTCTGCCGGGGGGAAGGCTTAGGGGAGACTCGGGACGTGGTGGGGGGAGGGTGCCAGCACCCAGGCCAGCGGGGGACGGTAGGAGCCCAGCAGGGCTGTTGTCACTCTAGAGGGGGCGTCTGGGAGCCTGAGCACTGGAGTGCCAGGTTCCCGGGGGCTGGAGGCGGAGGGCCGCCCTGTGAGGCCCGCTGGGACAGAGGGTCTCCTGCCACCTGCACCCCCACTGTGCTCACCCTCTGCCCCCCAGCTGCAGCACCGAGGGCGGCCTGGGCCCCTGCCAGCACGGGCCTCGCCAGGGCGGTGTGGGCCTGTGGCAGGACCTGTGTCCCTGCGCCCTGAGCACGCCTCCCCTTTTGCAGTCCGCCAGTTCCTCGAGAGCGGGGTCAGCCCTGACCTGGCCAACGAGGACGGTCTGACAGCCCTGCACCAGGTCAGCGCCGTGGGGGCCGGCGGGGAGCGGCGGGGGCAGTGGGGGCAGGCCGGCCCGGGGCTCAGGCTGCCCGGTTTGCAGAGCTGCATCGACGACTTCCGGGAGATGGCGCAGCAGCTCCTCGAGGCCGGGGCCACGGTCAACGCCCGTGACAGCGAGTGCTGGACACCCCTGCACGCCGCGGCCACCTGTGGCCACCTGCACCTGGTGGAGCTGCTCGTTGCCCGGTAGGACCGGCCGGGGGGCAGGTGTGGCCAGAACGGCTTTTGTGTCGGGGATGCAGCAGGGCGGGCAGTTCGTGCTGAGACGTAGCCCAGTGTCTCGTCCGCAGGAAGGGGGCCCTTGCCTCTTCCGTCCCCACTCACCTCTCCTCACTGCCTGCGTCCTGGCAGGGAGAGCTGGGCCTGGGCAGGGGCCACAGGCACTCAGAATAGTGAGGTTGTCTGCCCCCCGCCCCTGCGCCCCCTGGCTGTGTCCTGCCAGGTGCCGTTAGGAATCTGGGAGTTCCTTGAGGGTAGGTCTGGACCTCCAGCTTCGGCCTCCCAGCCCCCAGGGTCTGTGCGGAGAAGTACCATTCTGGTCAGTGAGGGGGTGGGACTGGCCAGAAGGGAGGGAGTGTGCGGACTCAGGTGGGCCTTTACCAGTGAGAGGTGGGCTGGATGCTGGTTGGCCTCACCAGGACCCAGGAGTCCCCTGCCATGGCCCCCGACTCTGACCCTCTGGTAGGACAGAGGGCCGGGCGCTCAGACGGCCTGAGGACCAGCCCAGGCTTTGGGGGGTGGGGCCGGTGGGGCCGGTGGGGGCGTGAAGCTCTGTGGGGTGTCTTGGCGCCTGGGCTCTCCTCCCCGGGCTTTCCAGAGTTCTGGCACCCCCTCCTGGCAGGTGGGCCCACCGTGCGTGTTCACAGGGGCTGATGGGTGCCGGTGACCTGGAGACACAGGGGGAGACCGCAGGACACCTCACCTGGCTTGAGGCGGGACCCAAGGCTGAGGGGCGGCCTCTCCCAACAGCATCTGGGGCCTGGGCCTCCTCCGTGGCGGCCTCTCGGTGTCCCAGAGCGCAGCCCTAGGCTGGGAGGGGGCTGGAGGCCTCCCTGGGGGGGGGGAAGGTAAGAGGAGCCCTGTGGCCACGCCCCACCCACCTTCCCTGCAGGGGTGCTGACCTCTTGGCGGTCAACACGGATGGGAACATGCCCTACGACCTGTGTGAGGATGAGCAGACGCTGGACTGTCTGGAGACGGCCATGGCAGACCAAGGTGTGTGCAGCCCCCCGTAGCCAGGCTGGCCCGCGGTGGGTGGGGGGCACCAGCCCTGAGCCTGCGGCCCTGCAGGCATCACCCAGGACGGCATCGAAGCGGCCCGGGCCTTGCCGGAGCTGCGTCTGCTGGAGCACATCCGGAGCCTGCTGCAGGCGGGGGCGGACCTGGATGCCCCTGGGGACCACGGGGCCACGCTGGTGAGGACCCGGCTGGGGGATGCGGGAGGAGGGGCGGCCGCGGGAGGGAGGAGGCCGGACTCGGGACAGGGACATCTGCCCGCAGCTGCACGTCGCCGCGGCCAGCGGGTTCGGCGAGGCGGCGGCCCTGCTGCTGGAGCACCGGGCCAGCCTGAGCGCCAAGGACCGAGACGGCTGGGAGCCGCTGCACGCCGCGGCCTACTGGGGCCAGGTGGGCGTGGGGCTGGGCGGGGGGCTGGGCGGGGGGACCGGGGGGGCCTGCCGCGCCAGAGCACTCAGCAGCCCGGGCTCGCCGGCCGCAGGTGCACCTGGTGGAGCTGCTGGTGGCACACGGCGCCGACCTCGACGGGAAGTCCCTGCTGGAGGAGACGCCTCTTGGTGAGTGGGGGCCTGTGCCTCCCCCTCCCGGGGCCGGGGCCTGGCGGAGGGCGCCCCTGAGCCTCCCTCTGCGCCCCCCCCAGACGTGTGCGGGGACGAGGAGGTGCGCGCCAGGCTGCTGGAGCTGAAACACAAGCACGAGGCGCTCCTGCGTGCCCAGGGTCGCCAGCGCTCGCTGCTGCGCCGCCGCGCCTCCAGCGCCGGCAGCCGGGGGTGAGCGCCCGCCCACCCCACACCTGCCCACGCCTTGCCGGCTGTGCCGGGTCTTTGCCCTCGCTGGCATCAGCCCTGTGCCCTCTGGAGCCGGGGGCAGAGTCCACGGGGCGGGCGGTGTCCTCCCCCCCTCACTCTGCCCTCCCCCAGGAAGGTGGTGAGGCGGGTGAGCCTGACCCAGCGCACCAGCCTGTACCGCAAAGAGCACGCCCAGGAGGCCATTGTGTGGCAGCAGCCACCTCCCACCAGCCCAGAGCCTCCCGAGGAGGACGAGGATGGCCAGACAGACACTGAGCTCAGGCCACCGCCCCCTGAGGTGAGCGCCTCCCCACCCTCCCGCGGGGCAGGCCTCCACCCCAGGAGCCGGTGGGGTCTGTGACCCTGCACCACACTCCCGGCAGGGCCCCCCCCCCAACCCTCGTGCCCGCCTCTGGACCGCCCCACAGTGGGGGCCCACAGCCGGGCAGTGCCCTCCTTAATGGCCTCTGGCACCCACGTTCCCCTCACAGGAGGACGACTCTGAGGTGTCCAGGCCACACAACGGCCGCGTGGGGGGCCCCTCCGGGCGGCACCTGTACTCCAAGCGGCTGGACCGGAGTGTCTCCTACCAGCTGAGCCCGCTGGAGGGCACAGCCCCCGACACCCTGGGCCGGGCCAAGGCCCACCACACCCTGGCGGAGCTCAAGCGCCAGCGAGCAGCTGCGAAGCTGCAACGCCCTGTGCCCGATGGGCCCGAGGCCCCTGCGTCCCGACCGCCCACGGAGGCCACGACACCCTTGCCCGGGTGCAGCTCTGGGGCTGCGGGGGACCCGCCCCTGCTCAGGCTCACAGCCCCCTTGGAGGAGGCCCCCGCGGAGAAGAAGCCCTGCTGCCTGCTCATGTGAGGGCGGGCGGCCCGGCCCGGCCCGCGCCCTGGGCCCCCACCCAGGGTCAGGGCCTGCCTCCTCGCTCAGGGACAGACCTGTGCCCCACATCTGGGGGCACCTGGCTCCAGAGACCTTGTTTCACTCTGTGACTCTCGATAAAAAGCCCTTCTGCCACCTGCCTCGTTGTGTCTCAGCTGGGCCACTGTCCCCACGGTGGGAGCGGCCGAGTTCCTGGGCCTGGGCGCGCCGACCCTGTGCCCGCCTGTCTGGGCCCTCTCGGTGCGTGCTCTGCCTGGTGGCGGCCCAGCCCTTGTGTGCGAGTGAGGCCTGCAGCCTGGTGCTGCCTGCCTTCCCAGCCCAGCGGCCTGCAGGCTGCTCTGAAACTCGACTCCCCTGAGGGGAGAGGGAGCTGGGGAGGACCCTCCCCGGGGACCAGTGGTCCTGGTTTGGGAAGGGAGGGGCCAGAGCCAGATGTATTGTGTAAGGCTGGCATCAGAAACGTGCGCAGGGGGGCAGCTCCCCACTCCTGGCCTGTGGCCTGATCCTGGAGCCTAGCTGCCAGCTTTTCCCTGGGCTGGCAGAGGGGGCAGCAGTTGGCCACTCAGGCTCCCAGCTGGCTGGGCACAGGGGTGACAGGGGCCCCTTAGGGGCCTCGCGTGGGAGGGCTGAGGGCACTGCCCACTCACCTTGCCCTGGAGGGCAGTGCCACGTGGACCCCAGCGCTGGGTGGCATGGGGTCAGGTCACCTTCCCCTCCTCACCGGGCAACCACCTGGTCAGCCCAGTGTCGCAGGGCCAGCCCATCCTGAGCATTGGTGGTGGGAGGGGTGTGCCCTGGGGAGGGCTAGGCTGCTGGTTAAATTTAGTGCGGGGGCCAGTGCGGCTGCCCAAGGTCCGCCTGCCACCGGGGCTGCCGCTCGGGCCCTGCTGCCAGGGGGCGGGCGGGGCCAGCCCCGCCCGGGGCTGGGCCCACATTAGCCTGCACTCTGCCCCGGGGGCCAGAGGGACAGGCCTGCATGCTGGGCGGCTGAAGTGGCAGCGAAGTGACAGCAGAGCAGAAAGGCACAAGGTGAGGGCTAGGCCAGCGCCCGGGCTCCCGCGTGTCCTCTCCAGCCGGCCGGCACGGAGGAGCTGAGGCTGCCCCCTGGCCCGGCCAGCGGCCCTGAGCCCGACTCCGACCAGGAGGGTGGCTGCCCTGACCCTCGGCCTCCTGCCGTGGCTGCCGTGGCAAGGAGGCAGCCATCCCTGGGCAGGGCCTGTGGAGGCGGGGCCCTGAGGGCCTATCACTGCTCACTCCCCACTCTCCACCAATCAGCAGCCACTGGGAAGCAGAACGGAGGTCACCCAGCCTGTGGTGTGGCCCAAGGGCAGCCCCAGGCTGTCCTGGTGAAAGGGCACCCCAGTGCAGGGCAGCGGGTGTCCAAGGGCCCCTGCTTGACACCCCAGCCCAGAGACTCTGGCCTCCCAGTGCTGATGGCCACCAGGGTCTGACCAGGGGGCCCTTGCGGCCCTGGTCATGGCCACCAGCCCGGGGGGGCCAGATGGAACCCCCTGTCTGTGCACCTCGGCCCCCTCCCCCGACACCCCTGGGTCCTGAGGCCTGGCCCAGTTACCTGGGAGACAGGCCTGCTGAACCAAGAGAGGATGGGGGCCCCGAAAGGGCCAGGCCTCTTCCGAGGCCTACTGGGGTAAACCCCCTTCCCCCTCCTTGCCCCACTCCGCCAGCCGCCGAGGGGCACTCCGCCCACCTCCCCTCCAGAGCCAGTTCCTCAGCGCTTCCCCAACCGTCTGTCCCTGCCCCCCACGAGGGTCTCCTGCTCCCCTGCCGCTGGGACAGGGCGCTGGGCAGAGCCCCAAGCCCCACCCACCTCCTCACCCACTCCCTAAGGCTCCCTGGGGCAGAGCTCTGCCCATTGGGCAGAGCGGGGCCCCTGGGGCCCCAGCTCCTCCTCCAGCCTGTCGTGTCCCTTTCAGTGGGGCTGAGAGGCTGCAGTGGAGAGGGTGCCCTCTTACCTGAGCCCCTGCCCAGGCCCATCCTTGCCAGCCCCGGCCCACTGAGGGGACTGTTTCCCTCATCCCAACTTCGGGGTCCTGCCACCTCCTGAGCCTCCTCCTCGCCTGGTGTGAGCAGGGTCATGGCCTTGAGGGCAGGAGAGCACAGCCAGGCCGCCATGAACGGGCCGAAGGAAAAGGTGCTGACGTTGGACACCATGAACCCGTGCATCAAGAGGGTGGAGTATGCTGTCCGCGGCCCCATTGTGCTGCGTGCCCTGGAGCTGGAGCAGGAGCTGCGCCAGGTACACCCCGGAGCCCACCCCTGCCCTCCAGGCCGCACCTGGGCAGTCCAGGGGCACAGGAGACCAGGGTTTTCGGGATCGACGAGGCCCATTCTCAGTGTCCCTGCCTCCATCCTCCCAGGGTGTGAAGAAGCCCTTCACCGAGGTCATCCGCGCCAACATCGGGGACGCACAAGCCATGGGCCAGAAGCCTATCACCTTCCTGCGCCAGGTGAGACTCGCGCTGCCTTGGCAACCCCGCCCCCCCGCCCCACCTGCAGCCTATGTGCCGCGGACTCAGCACTTGCTCTCTCAGGTCCTGGCTCTCTGCGTCCACCCAGACCTCCTGAGCAGCCCCGACTTCCCGGAAGACACCAAGAGAAGGGCGAAGAGCATCCTGCAGGCTTGCGGGGGCCACAGCCTAGGTGGGCACCAGAGCCGGGCCCCAGGGAGGCGCAGACGCTGGGGAGGCTCCAGGGGGGCGGTGGGCTCGCCCGCTGCAAGGGGAGGGTCTTCTCCGGACCTCACCCGTCCTCTCGGGTCCTGCCCCACCCTCCGGCACAGGGGCCTACAGCATCAGCTCCGGGGTCCAGCCGATCCGAGAGGATGTGGCTCGCTACATCCAGCGGCGCGACGGAGGCATACCCGCGGACCCCAACAACATCTTCCTGTCCACGGGGGCCAGTGACGCCATCGTGGTAGGCAGGGGCCAGGGCAGGAGGACGCCGTGGCTGTTTGTGCGCGGCCTGCCGGCCAGGCTCCTCCTGGCACGGCAGCGCGTGCTTGGGGTGGAAAAGACGGGTGTGGCCCCGGCCCCGCCAATGCCGCCTCCCCACCCCACTCGCAGACGGTGCTGAAGTTGCTGGTGTCCGGCGAGGGTCGCACGCGCACGGGCGTGCTCATCCCCATCCCTCAGTACCCGCTCTACTCGGCCGCGCTGGCGGAGCTCGCCGCCGTGCAGGTGGACTACTACCTGGACGAGGAGCGCGCCTGGGCGCTGGACGTGGCGGAACTGCGGCGCGCGCTGCTCCAGGCTCGCGACCACTGCCGCCCACGCGCGCTCTGCGTTATCAACCCGGGCAACCCCACAGGTGTGTCCCTCACCCCGCCCGGGCCCCGCCCCCCTCCGCCCCGCCTCCCCGACCCGCGGAGAGCAGTGCGCGCTCTCGGGTAACCCGGGGCTTGCCGCGTCTCCCCTCCACCCCCTGCCCGCGCCCCAGGGCAGGTGCAGACCCGCGAGTGCATCGAGGCCGTGATCCGCTTCGCCTTCGAGGAGCGGCTCTTCCTGATGGCTGATGAGGTGCTGGCAGGGGCGCGTGGGGTAGGGGGCCGAAGGGCAGGAGTGGGCGCCCCCAGTGACCCCCGTCGCTCGTCCAGGTGTACCAGGACAACGTGTACGCCGAAGGCTCTCAGTTCCACTCGTTCAAGAAGGTGCTCATGGAGATGGGGCCTCCGTACGCGACTCAGCAGGAACTCGCCTCCTTCCACTCCGTCTCCAAGGGCTACATGGGCGAGTGCGTGCGGGCCAGACGGGCGGGGGCTCTGTGACCCCGGCCGCCCGCCTCTGTCGGCCCTGCCTGGACGCCCGCCCTCGCCCCCAGGTGCGGTTTCCGCGGCGGCTATGTGGAGGTGGTGAACATGGACGCGGCGGTGCAGCAGCAGATGCAGAAGCTGATGAGCGTGCGGCTGTGCCCGCCCCTGCCGGGCCAGGTCGTGCTCAACATGGTGGTCAGCCCGCCTGCGCCCTCGGACCCCTCCTTCACGCAGTTCCAGGCGGTGAGCAGGAGGGGGGCGTGGAGGGGCGGCTGGGGCGGCGAGCGTGCTGGGCTGCGGGGCGCTGCTCCCCCGCCTGATGCGCCCTCCCTCCGCAGGAGAGGCAGGCGGTGCTGGCGGAGCTGGCGGCCAAGGCCAAGCTCACGGAGCAGGTCTTCAACGAGGCTCCTGGCATCCGCTGCAACCCGGTGCAGGGCGCCATGTACTCCTTTCCGCGCATACAGCTGCCCCCGCGCGCGGTTCAGCGCGCTCAGGTGCTTCGCGGGTCGGGCATAGCAGGGCAGGGCAGGGCAGGTCGGCGGGGAGGGCGGGGTCTGCGGAGCCCCGCCCTGATCACGCCCACCGCTCCCGCCTCCCACTCCAGGAGCTGGGCCTGGCTCCCGACATGTTCTTCTGCATGAGCCTGCTGGAGGAGACCGGCATCTGCGTGGTGCCCGGCAGCGGCTTCGGGCAGCGGGAAGGCACCTACCACTTCCGGTGAGGCCCCGCCGTGCAGCCCCTCCTCGTAGCCCCCACACCCTTTGCCCGTCGCTTATCTCCCTCCCCTTTTAGGATGACCATCCTGCCCTCCATGGAGAAGCTGCGTCCCCTTTTGGAAAAGCTGAGCCAGTTCCACGCCAAGTTCACCCGCGAATACTCCTGAGTACTGCTGGGGACCAGGCCTGGCGGCCCCGGACTGACAACACACTGGGGCCCGAGGGTCTTGCTGCCCGTGGGGCTGGGCCCCTGCCTCCCTGCAGGCCTCTAATAAAGCCGAGCCTCTGGCTGCTAGGCGGAGGCGTGCTCACCTGCGTGCGCCTCCCCCGTCTCCTGATTGGCCTTCTGCGCAGGCCTGGTCTCACTTCAGGAGGAGTGGTCGAGGAGGCCTCCCAGAGGAGGTGACCTTCTTGCCTTCGCAGCGCCTCCGGTGGGCTCACCCTCCACCGTGGGGCCTCAAGGAGGAAGCCTTGGTTTCCCTCCTAGCTGCCACCTGGGGCTGCTGTGCAGCGCAGGGACCAACGGGTCTCGCTCAGCCTGGGTTGTTTGAAGAGCGGGGTGAGAGCGTGTGACACGCAGAATGGGTCGCCTTACCGGTCCCTACCCCGGAGGCCAGCCCCTGTCGGCGGCTCGCGCGCAGTACCCAGGGTGGCCACCGGGGGCGCCTGCATACGGCCGGCGCTCTGGCCCGCTCCGGCGCTCTATGGCCCGCGTCCCCGGAAAAAGGGGACCGCTTGCGGCTCAGCGGGGTACGGACGCCAGCCAGTCCAACCCTAACCCCTCGGCGCAGTCCAAAGGTCATGCTGCCGTGTGACCCTTGACCCGGCCAGACCACCAGCGGAACCGCTCCGCCCAGGCCGGCCTTGAACTGGGCTCCAGCTCCCCGTCCTCTCTCCTGGCTATGCGTGGGAAGCTGCTGCCGCTGGCCGGCCTCTACCTGGTGCAGGGCCTGCCCTATGGGCTGCAGTCTGGCCTGCTGCCCGTGCTGCTGCGAGCAGGTGGCCTCTCCCTGACCCGCGTGGGACTGGCCAAGGTTCTGTATGTTCCCTGGCTGTTCAAGCTGGTGTGGGCCCCACTGGTGGACACGCGGGGCTCCCCCAGGGCCTGGCTGACGCTCAGCACGGCGGCTCTGGGCCTGGTGTGTGGGCTGCTGGCAGCCTTTTCTCCCGCCGAAGATGGCCAGGCCGAGCTGCCCGTCATGGTGGCGGCACTGCTTCTGCTGCTGAACCTGGGTGCAGCTGTGCAGGATGTGGCCCTGGATACACTGGCTGTGCAGCTCCTGGAGCCGGCGGAGCTGGGACCTGGCAATACCGTGCAGGTGGTCGCTTACAAGCTGGGGTCGGTGCTGGCGGGTGGTGGGCTGCTGGTCCTTGTGCCCACCCTCTCCTGGCCCCGGCTGTTCCTGCTCTTGGCTGCCACCTACTGGCTGGCTGCTGCCCTGGCTTGGAGCGCACCCGCTCTCCAACAGCTGCCCTCTCCCAAGCCCTCGGGACAGCCCCCCCACACCCTGCAGCGTCTGCAGGACTTGGTGGCTGTATCTGGGACCCTGTGGACCGCGGGCTTTGTGCTCACTTACAAGCTGGGTGAGTGAGGGCTTAAGTCAGGCAATAGCAGGGGTGGGGACCTCAGGGGAAGCTCCAGGTGGGTCCCCAGGAATCCTGGGGTCCACCTGTAGGGCTGCCGTCTCTGGGGCATGTATGCCCTGTGGGCTGGAGCCCGGCCAGTTCAGCAGCTTGCCTCTTGTCCTCCAGTTCTAGCTGCACAGCCACTCTGAGCTCTAGCCACAATCCTTCGCTCATGCTGACCCTGAGCTTGGCTGATGCGGTTTCCTCGGTCCCTCAGCACCAGAGGCAGGGTAGCAGCCTAGCTGGGGAGCACGACCCAGGCCACAGGTGGACAGGGAGGTGGGTGACACCTGCTCACATTCTCCCCACAGGTGAGCAGGGCGCTAGCAGCCTGTTCCCACTCCTCTTGTTGGACCGAGGCCTCACTGCCCCAGAGCTGGGGCTGTGGAACGGTGTGGGCGCTATGGCCTGCTCCATCGCTGGATCGTCCCTGGGCGGGGCCCTGCTGGCCAGGCACTGGTGAGCTTTCTTCAGTCTGCCCCACTCACCCTTCGACCTGTCCCACATTCCTGACCCGCCCAACCTCACCACCACAGGAAGCTGCTGCCCCTGCTGAGATCAGTGCTTCAGTTTCGCCTTGGGGGTCTGGCCTGCCAGACCACCCTGCTCTTCTACTTGGACACCCTGGGGGCCAAGCTGGGCCCCGGCACAGTCCTGAGAGGTGAGGGGCTGGCCATGGGGGGGAAGAACACGGTGCAGCCTGGGCCCCGCTGACCTCCACCTTCCCAGGGGCAGCTTTGCTGAGCCTGTGTCTGCAGCACTTCCTGGGGGGCCTGGTCACAACTGCCACCTTCACCTTGATGATGCGCTGTAGCCAGTTGGCACCGAGTGCCCTGCAGGTGAGGAGGCTGGGACACCGAGGACATGCAGGGCTGGGGTCCAAGCAAGTCCTCATCTGACCTCCTGCCCCCACAGGCCACACACTACAGCCTCCTGGCCACGCTGGAGCTGCTGGGGAAGCTGCTGCTGGGCTCGCTGGCCGGAGCCCTGGCTGACAGCCTGGGGCTGCACCTCTGCTTCTCCTTCTTCCTTGCCCTCTCGGCCACACCCATTCTGGGCCTGGGCCTGGCGCCCAGAATCCTGGCCTGAGTTGGGCGGCTGGACTGGTCAATAAAGCCAAACCTAAGTGTGGCCTGTTTGTGTTTTTCTGGCGTGTGTGGTACCGGAGGCTGTCCCGAGGCTGTGGCACCACCCCACCCAAAAGGAGGATCCCTAAAAACTTCAGCATCTTTTGTTTTTGCTTTTTTTTTTTGGGGGGGGGGGAACTCCTTGTGCCCACAGTCCTGGCAGTATGCTTTGCCCAAGGTGCTCAGTCACTGTCCTGGCCACTGACGTTCCCTTGTCTGTGTCTTACACCTGCCACTCTCTGTGCGGTAAGACATCCCTGTCCACACCCCCGTCTGACGAGGGGAACAGGGCCTGCCTGAGGCAAGGTGGTCAGCGGCCCCACAGCAGGATCTCCTCTGTGGCCAGGCGCATCAGGGCGTGGAAGCTCAGGTGCAGGTACTTCCTCCAAAAGCGCCGGTCTCGCCCATACACCTGGGCTGGAAAGCAGGGGCTTCCTGTGGTGGAAGGGGAGACACGGGCCTGAGGCCGTGCGCTGAGTCCAGCCCTGCCCGCGCCCGAGTTGGGGCCGAGCCTCCCGGGCCCTCACCGATGCCGTGGAAGATGCGGGCCACAGCCCTGCCTGAGAACTGCTGCTCCGGCCACAAGGACAGGAAGTGACGGACCTCCCTGCGGACCTGGTCCTCCCAGTCCTGGAGCTGCGGGTGGGGGCACGTCCGGCCAACTTGAGCTTCCTGGGCGCGTGGCTCCACAGGCCCCAGGACAGAGCAGGAGGTGGGTGTGTGCATGTGGGTGAGGCTGCCTAACTCTGCCCCAGGGAGGGCCAGCACTTACCTCGGCCTGCCCAGGCTCTGGGCCCTGGGCTTCCCCCGAGACCCCTGGACTCTCTTCCTCAAAGTAGTGGCTGAGCAGGGCCTTGAGCCTGGCGCTGCGGTCCTCGTCTGGCTGGTCCAGGCACGGCCCGCAGCTGGGGAAGGCTACACTGGGGTGGGATGAGCTCGTCAGAGCTGCCCTTGGGGGTGGGGTGGCCGCGTTCTGCCCGCCCTCCCCCGCACCTGTGAAAGGCCTGGAACACAAGGCGCAGGCAGGCCAGGGCCTCCTGCTCTCTGGCCCGCACTCGGTCATACAGGAAGTCACAGATCTGGTCCTTCTCCTGGGCCGTCAGGTCCCCGGGGCTGCGCAGGTGGAAGGCCAGCTCGCTGAACTCCACCAGCACTCCCGTGTCCCGAGGCACACCTGCCACAGAGCGTGTCAGACGGGCAGACGGGCGGGCAGGTGCCTGGCAGGCAGGGCGTGGGGCGGGGCACACCTGTCCTGGGCTCTGGGTCCCACTGCAGTTGGCGGAGCGCCTTCCGCACAGGGGCCAGCTCCCAGCCCATGGAGTCCACCAGCTCGACCACGTTCAGCTCCACAGAGCTGCTTCCCCCGTCTGCGTTCTCGGGTGGCTGCTGAGCCAAGTACGCAGCTAGTGGGGGACACCTGTGCCGGGAGGAGGGACGAGTAATTGGTAGCCCATGTCCTCTGTCCCCCTCTCCACTCTGGGGCGGGACCCGTGCTCACCTGCCGGCCAGGGCCTGCAGCTGGGTGGGGCCCCCCGGGAAGCGCAGGCGGCAGCAGGCGTAGGTGGGTGTCAGCAGCTCCAGCCAGTGCTGCGGGTGCAGCTCCAAGTAGCACAGCAGGGTCTCAATGACTGGGGACAGGACTGCACTCAGGGTACCTGGGGCTGTGCAGGGACCCCCCCCCGCGCCACAACACCCGCCCCAGCCCCTCACCCTCTTCAGGCATGTCCAGAGCCTGCACTGTCGGCTGCACCGGGAGTGCCCGCACATGGCCCAGGCACCGCGCCGCCTGCTCACTCAACGGCCCCTCCTGCCTCCTGCCTCCCTCTTGCTCTGGCAGCCGCTGGGCGCAGGAGCAGGGCGGGAACACGCGCCGCACCAGCTTCTTAACGGCCAGGAAGTCGGTGGCTCTGGCGTGCACGTGTCTGCGCAGCTCCCGGAGGTCCTCGCCCTGCAGCGGGAGGGCTGTGAGCGTGTGGCGGTGGTGCCGGGCTGGGGGCGGCGGGGAGGCGGGGGAGCTCCAGCGGGTGGGTACCCACCTGGGGCTGGAGGAAGAGGTGGCACTGCGCGGGCTGCCCGTCACGCCCGGCCCGGCCTATGGCCTGCACGTAGCTCTCGAAGCTCGGGGGCAGCCCCAGGTGCAGCACAGCCCGGACATCCGGCCGGTCCAGCCCCATCCCGAAGGCCACCGTGGCCACCACCACCCGCAGCCGGCCCGCCATGAAGGCCTGCTGCACCCGCCGCCGCTCCCGGCCGCACAGGCCGGCGTGGTAGGCTTCGGCCACGGCCCCCCGGGCCCGGCCTGCAGGGGCGACACAAATGCTCGGTGAAGTGCATGCGTGGGCGGGCCGGTGGGGCACAGGCCTGTCCCAAACTCACCTCCACGCCCCGGGGCCCGGGCCTCAGGGAGGCGGGTGCGGAGCAGAGCAGAGACGCGCTCGGTGTCCTCTCGCCGGGTGCAGTAGACGATGACCGAGTCCAGAGCGCGGAAACGGTCGCCCTGCAGCAGCGTCACCAGGGCCTGCGGAGACACAGCGGCGGCCCAGTGACGGCCACCGGGCATCCGGGCCTCTGCCAGGTGTGTGCGCACCCACCTGGTCGGGGTCCCTGTCCATGGACACGGAGAGGTGCAGGTTGGCGGGGATGGTGACGGGTCCCCTGAGGACAGCCTCCTCGGGCACGCCCAGGTGCTTGGCCACGTCGAGGGCGGTGCTGCGCGTGGCCGTGGCCGTGAGGCCCAGGAAGCAGCGCACCCCCAGGTGCTCCCGAAGCACCTGTGCAGGGACGGCTCGGTGAGGATGGCCCCCTCCCTCCCGCCCCTGCTCACTGCACCCAGGACAAGGCTCACCTTGCATACACGCAGGTAGCAAGGCCGGAAGTTGTGAGACCACTGGGACAGGCAGTGGGCTTCGTCGACGCAGACAAAGGCCACGGGTGGCAGCCGAGAGAGGCAGGCGAGGCCCCAAGCTCCAGCTCCGACCACTGCCTCGGGCGACAGCATCAGCACTTGCACCTGGGCTGCCCGCGCCTGAGGACCAATGGTTAGGACCGCCGCCCAGGGCCCCGCCTGCCACCCCCAAGGGTCTTGCCCCACAAGGCCCTCACCCTCTGCAGGGCCGAGTCCTGCTGTTTCCTGGTCATGCCTGAGTGCACGCAGGCCGCCTTCAGGCCTGGGGGCAGGCCAGACACCTACAGGGATGGGAGCAGAGCCTGTCGAAGGCCACTCAGTCCCGGCCCTATCCCAAATGCCTCTCCAAGTTGCTCAGCTCTAGCTACCACTGTCTCTAGCCCAGGGGAGAGACAGGCCCACTGGGGACATGTCCCTTCCCCACGGCTCCTTTCAGGGGAGGGTCTGGCTACCCTGTCCCTGCTGTCCTTGGGTCACCACCAGTGAGGGGACTATGGACAGAGCTGGTGGGCTGACAACTGTTGAGATGCTTGCAGCTCCGGGACTGGGATTTGGTAAGAAGTAGCAGTGCAAGGGGACAAAAGGCCACGGGTGCCGGTGCCTGCCTTCTGCCCATGCCCGAGGGTCCCGTCCACACACCTGGTCATCCATGAGGGACAGGAGAGGAGAGATGACCAGCGTGAGGCAGGGGCTTCGCCGGGCGTAGAGCAGGGCAGGGAGCTGGTAACACAGGGACTTGCCAGTGCCCGTGGGCAGCACCAGCAGCGTGGACAGGCCTGGGTGGGACGGAGGTCAGCAGTGGTTCTATGCGGCCTGGCCTCACCCCTGCGTGTCCCCCGGCAGCCACGCTCACCAGACAAGATTCGCATGATGGCGTGTTCCTGCCCAGGGCGGAAAGCATGGTGCCCCAGCTGCTCCAGGGTCTGAAACACCTCAGCTGGCGTCTCTGTGGACACAGGTGTTGGTCAGTGTGGCCCCAAGTTGCCCCCACCCCTCAGTAAAGGCTGGTAAGCTTCCACTCACCTGCCACCTGCCCCAAGGGCCCCGGCAGGTAGAGTGGTGGCACAGTCTGGGGTGTACAGGGTGGCCTGGGCACAGGCCCCTCCGTGGGCACCAGCAACTCAGGCCCAGCAGGCTCTCCATCGCCCTCACCTGCTGGGGGCAGGAGAGGGTGGTGTGGGAGCCCAGACTGGGCTGGCGTCATTCTACCAAGAAGGCCGCCGGCCACACCGCCTCTCACCAGCGTGCTGGCGGCAGGCAGGGCCTGTCCTCTGAGCTACTGCTTCCAACATGGACAGCGCTTGTATGTCATCTTCGTCTTTGCCACCCTCCTCCTGGGGGGCCGGGGCAGGTTCTGGACCTAGGACAGGGAGTTGAGAGGGCCTTTGCTGAAGCCAGGCTGTCCCCACCCCAAAAGGCACAGCACCCTCTCCAAGCAGTGTTGACCCAACACTGTCCAGGACGGGTCTGGAAGGGCCTCACCTCGTTGCAGGCACTGGGATGCCCAGTGGCCGAACTGCCCACATCGAAAGCAAGAATCCTTGTCTGTGGCTCCGGGCTGACCACCCCCAAAACATTCCCCTTTCTTCTTCCACTTCTGCTTCCACGCCTGGGTTGGGGCACAGAGGACAGTCACAAGGGGAGAGGCCTCGGGGTGAGGGGAGCACCCGCCGCCATCTCACCTGCTTCCGGAGGAGCCTGCCACGGTGGGCCGGGCCCCGCACATAGCGCTTCTGCTTCATGTTGAGCCGGACATAGTTGCCCCTGTTCCGCACTGCTGGCCTAGAAGCGACACGCAGGTGCGCTCTGCCCATGGCCCTCCTCACCCTGGCCCAACTCAAGGCGACCCTGCGGGGAGGCTGTAGTACCTGGGGGCCGACGGGCTGCTGAGGGGCTGTGCCAGCGCGGGCTCCCCTGGACCGTCGTTCACCCGCACTGCAGCCCCAGCTCCCTCGGAAGGGGCGCCCGCCTGGCTGCTGTGCTGCTTCGCCTGTGCAGGGGGCGTCTCTGGCTCCCCGTTCCGTCTCCGCTTCTTGCCTTGACTGCTGCCCGGTGAGGGGCTCCCTGCACCGACTCCAGCTGCCTGACGACCTGGAGCCTCCGGGCTCTGTGAAGGTGCCTCCAGGCCCATGCCGGGGCCGAGGACAGACGGGACACCTGAGGTCGGGGGCTGTGGCTCTTCTGCACCCAGGGCGGGCGGGCAGGCCTCAGATGCCCCCGGAAAACCTAGGGTCACTTGGTGACACCGCTGCAGCCAGTCGGGGTCCAGGGAGCCTAGCCGCAGGCTCAGGGACTCCTGCAGCTGCTGGAGCCGGCCTGGCCTCGGCAGGGGCCTGGGAAGCTGCAGAGGCACCTCACTGACCTCTTTAGGAGACACGGGGGTAGCCCCTGCAGCTGGTGGCCCCAGGGAAGGCACCTTGGGCGAGGGTCTTCGGGGAGTCCGGGGTGTGCGGCTCAGGGCCGGCCCAGCCTGGGAGGGGTTGGACAGAAAAACAAGTGGGAACCAGGCCCTGGGCTGCTGCAGACTCTGGAACCTGCCCGAGTCCCCCTAAACCGCCCGCAGTAAGGCTGCAAAAGAAAGGAAGATGAGAGCGGAAGCTGGTCCCGATCACCTTTCAGAAGTTGCGGCCTGATTAATGCTGGCACACGCGTGTGTACTAGTGCGCGTGCACTAGTGGAGTTTCTGGTGATCCTGCCCCCGGGGAAAAGGGCAGTTCTGGCCCAAGGTCTGACCGCGTGCAGTGCTTTACTCCTCACCTGTAGAGTAACCTTTAAGTTTGCCTTAAGCCTCTCCCCATAGTCCTGCACAGACCCCCGGGGACTTGGCCCTGGAGTAGGATGGGGACAGCGGGTTACAGCCCGATTCAGGTGGGAGCCCCAGCAGCTAGGCTCTGGCATCTGCAGGAGACAGTGGGGACGGAAAGGTTGGTGTGGGGGACAAAGGTGTCTCCAGCCCACCTCCCCAGCCCCTCAGAGACCTGAAGTGGGTCCTGGATCTCCACCCAGTCGAGCCCTTCCCCCAAGTTCTGTGCCCTACGGGGGTTGGGACACGACTCCTCTTGGCGCCGCCAAACAGAAAGCTAAACCGGGAGACTAGAGTATCGGGGCCCGGGTACCTCCTCCGCTGCCGCTGGAACCGAATGCTCGGGGCCACGGGAACCGACGCCGCCGGCCTGTTGCAGGGCCTCCTTCAGAGCGCGATACTCCCGGTAGAGCGCTGGGGGCGGGGTCAGGGGTTAGGGTGGGTCCCGCTCCGCTCCCGCACTCCCCGTCCCTCTGACCCGTCCGCCCTGCAGTCCTCTCCTCCTCGCGCGCTCACCGCGGGTCTCCTTGGGCGCCGCTTTCACGTCCTCCTGTGAGGGGAGTGCATCAGCCCGGGGCCGCGCCCTCAGCCCCCCGCCCCCGGGCAGCCCGCACCTGGCCCGGCCGCCGTCCGCGCTGCTCCCAGAACGCGCGCTCCCACGCCTGCAGCTGCGCCCGCACGTCCCGCAGCCGCTCCATGGCGCGCGAGTCCCACGGGCTCCGCGCCCCGCGAATTTCCCGCGGCGGGGGCGGCCCCTGGGCCAGGGCGGCCAATCCTCGCGGCCCTGGAGGGGCAGCCAATAGGGGGAGATTACGTCATCGCGGCGCGCGGCCGCGCTGGGCGGGGCGCGGCGCACGGCGAGGCGAGGCGGGGCTGTCTGCGGTGGAGGCGGCTGCGGGGCCGGCGAGCGCGGGCCGCCTGCCGACGACGGAGCGCGGCGGCGTGCACTCCCGGCCCTGCTAGTCCACTCGAGGCGGGCGCGTGAGCCCGGGTGGTGAAGCTGTGGGGCAGGGACGGACCCGGATTCCCGCGCCCCGCTGAGCGGCCTCGGGTCTCGGGGGCGACGCACCGGGAGGAGGAGGGCGTCGGATTGAGCGCCTCCCACAGGGCCGGGAGGAGCCTCGCCGCGGCCTTCGAGAAACGCCGGGAGCCGCGGGGCGGCGGGAGGGGGCGGCGGCTACCGCTCAGAGGCTCCTCCCTCGGTGACCATACTGGCTGCTTTCGTTTCCTCTCGTGACAGGTGCTCGGTTGATCTGTCCTGTCACAGCGAGGTATGAATCGTCCTCGCGAGATTTGTCCACAGGCAGAGTGAGGCTGAGGCTTGGCGGCCGGGACTTCTCAGGAACCAGTGCCCTAAGGGCTCACGTTGTGTGCGAGGTCCGCGGCCAGACTTCCCCTCCCCGCGCTCAGCGCCCGGGCTGCAGCCCTGCGGGGAAGGCCGAGTGCTCAGCGCTCATCCGTTTTCAGGGGGCTGATCGGGAGGCAGTTCGGGGGATGAGGTACTCTAATTCAGCAGAATAGCCGACACCCAGGTCCCTGTGCCTTCAGCCTCTTCTTTGTGCCTCCTGTGAGCCTGGATGCCACTCTGGCGGCTGCCTGTAGCCGTTTGAGCCCTCTCTGGCCTGGGTCTTCTGAATCCAGTGGGTGTGAGACTTGGTCTCTCAAGATGGTTCTTTAGCAAGGAGGGAGATGTTTAGATAGGTGACAAGGCCCTCGGTGGGTGACAGTTGCTGTCCATGCCTAACGACACTTCTGGACACAGAAGTTAGGACTGGGGGTCATGTTGAGGGCTTGGATTACTCAGGCCATCTGGCCTCTCCTTGGGTCCTGGTCCTTTCTACCTGCCCTGGTGTTTATTGAGGTGCATCTGTGTGCTTCCAGCCGCTCTCTGCAACTGTGCACAAGATCGGGGGCAGCCTGCAGGATCCTCTGAGAAGGGGAGGGGAGGGAACTGTGATGCAGCCTCCAGCCCCTCCTTCCAGGATCCCACTCCTGTAGTGCTTACGAAGTGCGAATGGCCGGAACTTTATTCTACTTTTCAGGGAGAGAGGCTCTCTAACAAACAGCTTTGTAATTTGGAAGGCCCGAAGTACAGATGGGGGGCCCTGCAGGCAACAGCTGTCAAAAGCACACCCAGACGGGTGTGTCCTCTTTGGTGCCATGCTCTCATGTGCTGTTTGATGGTTTTGTGTCCCTGAAGAGGTCCCGGGTTTCTGGAGGGTGGGAACTAGGGGGTTGCCTTGTTCCCCTCTGCACTCTGCCTGGCTCATTGCTAGGTACCTAACATTTGCTCTTCAGGGCTGTGGCCCCACTGAGCACTGACTCTGGCAGGCACTATGCTGGGCTTTCCTACTACTAGTGTGTGAAGGAGTCTGTGGCAGGTGGTGGCCTGTGGTCTGTCCTCCCCACTGAAGGTCCCTTCCCTGCAGGTGGCTTGCTCTCTGGCCCAGCGCCATGCACACTCTTGTGTTCCTGAGTACACGGCAGGTGCTCCAGTGCCAGCCCGCAGCCTGCCAGGCCCTGCCCCTGCTGCCTCGTGAGCTCTTCCCCCTGCTGTTCAAGGTGGCCTTCATGGACAAGAAGACCGTTGTGCTGCGTGAGCTGGTGCACACGTGGCCCTTTCCTCTGCTCAGCTTCCAGCAGCTTCTGCAGGAGTGCACCCATTGCAGCCGGGCGCTGCTACAGGAGCGGCCCAGCACGGAGAGCATGCAGGCCGTGATCCTGGGGCTCACAGCCCGGCTCCACACCCCAGAGGCTGAGGCCGGCACACAGCCCTTCTGCAGGTACGGGCTCACCCCGGGGGGCCCTCGGGCTTTGGGGGGTTCAAAGAGGATCCCCTGAGAGGTTTCAGGCTGGTGTAAGAGTTCACTGCAGGAAGAGGCATGTTGCTTCTGTCCTAGGGTGGCTGGGAGTGGGTGTGGGCTCTGCCCCTTGTCACCTGCCTCAGCCTTCCCATGCTCCCAGGAAGCATGCACTGCGGGTGCTGGACATGACGGGCCTCCTGGACGATGGTGTGGAGCAGGACCCCGGCACCATGAGCATGTGGGACTGCACGGCAGCTGTGGCCCGCACATGCATCGCACAACAGCAGGGGGGCACTGTGGAGCCCGGGCCGGCCCCTGTTCCTGTAGAGGTGCGTGTGGACCTTCGCGTGAACCGGGCCTCTTATGCATTCCTGCGGGAGGCCCTCCGTAGCAGTGCGGGCAGCCCTCTACGGCTCTGCTGCCGGGACCTGCGGGCTGAGGACCTGCCCATGCGCAACACCGTGGCCCTGCTGCAGCTGCTGGATGCAGGCTGCCTGCGCCGCGTGGACCTGCGCTTCAACAACTTGGGCCTGCGTGGCCTGTCTGTCATCATTCCACATGTGGCCCGTTTTCAGCACTTGGCCAGCCTTCGGCTGCACTATGTGCATGGGGACTCACGGCAGCCCTCTGTGGATGGCGAGGACAACTTCCGCTACTTCTTGGCCCAGATGGGCCGCTTCACCTGCCTGCGGGAGCTCAGCATGGGCTCCTCTCTGCTCTCGGGGCGGCTGGACCTGCTGCTCAGGTGTGTGGGCCCCGTTACTGTTCTACTCCTCCTTTCCCCGAGACCCTCCTTTGGCCCTGCCTGCTCACAGCCCCTTGTTTTCCCTACAGCACACTGCAGAGCCCTCTAGAGAGCCTGGAGCTGGCCTTCTGCGCTCTGCTGCCTGAGGATCTGCGCTTCCTGGCACGAAGCCCCCACGCTGTCCACCTCAAGAAGTTGGACCTAAGTGGCAACGACCTGTCTGGCAGCCAGCTGGAACCCTTTCAGGGTCTGCTGCAGGCGGCAGCAGCCACACTGCTGCACCTCGAGCTGACCGAATGCCAGCTTGCTGACACCCAGCTGCTGGCCACACTCCCAGTGCTGACTCGCTGTGCTAGCCTCCGCTACCTCGGCCTCTATGGCAACCCGCTATCCATGGCAGGCCTCAAGGAGCTCCTTCGGGACTCGGCAGCACAGGCTGAGCTGCGCACGGTGGTGCACCCCTTCCCTGTGGACTGCTATGAGGGTCTGCCCTGGCCGCCACCTGCCTCTGTCCTGCTGGAGGCCTCCATCAATGAGGAGAAATTCGCCCGTGTGGAGGCTGAGTTGCACCAGCTGCTTCTGGCCTCAGGTCGTGCCCATGTGGTCTGGACCACGGACATTTATGGGCGCCTGGCCGCAGACTACTTCAGCTTGTGATCTCTGGGCTTCGGGTGAGAAACAGGCTGTCCCGGAGTCCAGGGCTGCTGGAGGCCCCACCCCCTCCTGGGTAGGCAGAGCCTTTGCTGGGACCCTGCTGGAAGTCTGACACAAAGGCACTGGTCTTGATTTCCTTGCTTCTTGGGTGTACCTTGAACCTCCCTGCGCATTCTGCGGGGCCCTGCACAGCTGGCCCTGCACCTGCTTCCGTGACTTGCCCACGTCTGTGGGCCTGGCGTCTGGATTCCGGGCCTGCTCACTCCTGCTTGGTTTGGCTGTACTTGGCTACCCTCTGCTGTCCCGGACCTCTCCAGAATATTCCTTGGGTCCCAGCTCTGAGAGAGCGGGCGTCTCTCTGGGTCCTCTTCAAGAGAAGACTGCTCTGGGTTGTGGCTGGGACAGGGACCTGCCTCAGGGGGGGGTTGGCCCTCCTGCACTTGGGCCTGTTACGGTTTTCCGTGTGCTGGCACCCTGGAGACTGCCTGTGAGCTGGGCTTTGGGGCCAGAGGGTGTCATTAAGGTACAAATGTGTAGTGTATTTGGAACTTAAAATTTGCGGCTGTTCTTTCTGTTCCAGTTGGTTAGAGTGAGTTGTCCCTGACTCTGCTGTCATCCTGGCATGGCCTTGGCTAGCAGCTGCCTCCCAGTCTGCTCTCTCCCTCCACTGGGCATGCCCGCCACCTCCACAGTAGTTCGTGGCTCGGGCCTTGCAGAGCTGGAATCGGGCGTGACTGTGGGAGGGTTTTCTGGAGGACCTCAGTTGGATGCTGGGAGCCTCCCTGACCATCCGACGGTTACCTTCCAGTGCTTCTATCAGCAGAGCTGGGGGTCTTCAGGTGCCTATGCCCCACCCCACCCTCGGGGTCCCCAGACCTCACACACAGCTCGCCGCACAGTGCGCAGCATCCACCCTTTACTGACCGCGCAGGAGCATGCGCGAAGCCAGTCCCCTAGCCGGCCAATCCGCAGGGCTCACGTCATCAGAGCGCGCCGCCCCGCCCCACCCTTCAGCAGTGGATCTCGTAGGCGGTGGGTGGTTGCAGCGGGAGCCCCTGCGCGGGCCCCAGTCCGGGCTCTGCGCCCTCTGCCGCCTCCGCTGGGCCTTCGGCGAAGAGCGGCTTAGAGCGGTCGATGACGAACATTTCGTGGCCCCGCTCGTCGCGGAGCTCCTCGAGCTGCGCGAAGGTGCAGGGCCCGTCCGAGTAGTCGTTGACGAACAGCGCACCCTCCCCCGGCGGTCCTGGTGCCTTTTTCCGCCTGCGGCGCCGACGACAAATCAAGGTGGCCAGCAGCAGCGCTGTGAGCGCCAGGAGCGTGATGGCCGCCGCAATGGCCGTCTGCGTGGCCAGGCCCAGAGCGCGGAAGGCCATGCTGCTTTCTTCGTGCAGGGGCTCGTGGCCACCAGAGCCCGCGGCCAGGGGCGGCCGAGGTGCTAGCTGCAACTGCTGCTGGGACAGGTTGACCAACAACTGGAAGGGCATGCGAGCGGCGCCGCCGGCGTTCGAGGCCTCGCACTCGTACTTGCCTGCGTGGGCCAGGGTGATGTTGGTGAGGAAGAGCATGCCGCTACCGGTATCAGAGGCCGCATTTCCACCTGAGCCCGGCGCCCAGCCTTCTGGCTGGGCCTGGGCCCGCGGTTGTCCCTCGCGAAGCTGTGCCACCTTTCTCCAGGTTACCAGAGGCTGGGGGTAGCCGGAAGCCTGGCAGGCAATCCGCAGGTCCTCACCTAGGTTGGCCATCACCTCCAGCGGCTCAACGTGGACAGAAGGCGGGATGCAAATGAGGCTACTACCAGAAATGTCCAGGAGACTCTGAAGTGCCAGGCGTGGGGGCTCTGCACACATGATTTTCTTGTCCCTGGAGCTGAGCAGCCTCTGACCCCCCTCCTTGATCCAGGCTCCCAGCCAGTGCAGGGCACAGTCACAGCGCCATGGGTTCTCTGTGGACAGAGCAGTGATGGGCAGGTAACTCAGGGGCTGCGGCAGATCGCAGCCTGTGCAGTTGGGGTTCTTTTAGCTACAGCAGGAGACCCTTTGCCACCCCTCAGTGTCAGGGGCCCCTTTCACCCCTTCCTCTGACCCTGAGCTCCTCAGAGTGTAGACAGGCTCTTCCCACATCCTTTCAGTTCTGTGCACGTTCCTCCTGTCTTTCCGAAGTATCTCTCTGCAACAAGTCCCACTATTTGGGGGGAACCCTGGTGTCCACACAGACATCACATCGTCACTAAAACCTCGCAAGTCCTGGCAGCCTTGTCTCAGGGGCTGTCCTGGAAATGCCCCCAATCCCGGTCTCATCTTTTCAGTTTCTGCCTGCCCACCCTCTTATGGCCCCAAAGTGTGCCAGTCCCTCAACCACGTCTAGTCCGTTTACAGACTTATACCTTTTCTGTTCTCCTTACAAAGTTCCCTAAACTCTGCCCCTACCAGCACCCCCTTTCCTAGCAGCATTCTAGTGGCTTCCTAGCAGGGTTGCCGAGTCTGCTGCTCAGAGCCACTGCTACTGGAGCTTCCTCGACACCTGAGCCTACTCCCTACTGCCAGCACTGTGGTCAAGGAGGATACCTTTGCATGAGACCCCTTGCTCAAGAGGTACCTGTGAGGCGCAGGACCTGCAGGCTGGCCAGGGGCTGCAGGGTCTCACGGCTGATGGTGCCTAGCTGGTTCCTGCTGAGGTCCAGCAGTGCCAGTGAGGAAAGCCCGGCCAGGGCCTGGTCCTCCAGCAGTGCGATGCTGTTTTCCTGCAGGTGCAGCTCCTGCAGGCGCTGAAGTGAGGACAGCAGATGGTCAGGGACAGGGGCCCTAGGGAAATGCCTCCTTCTTACCAGGCTAGGCTGGTTGACTTGTCCCCTTCACCACTCCAGTCCACAGAGCAGCTGGCAGCACAGGATGACCCTTTTCCCCCACACCCTCTCACCGGCAGATGCAGGAAGGTGAAATCCAGCAGCTGCACTAGCTGGTTACCAGCCAGGTAGAGTACACGCAGCTGGGCCAGGCCAATGAAAGCACCGAGGCGCAGGCCTCGCAGACGGTTGCCTGTGAGCGCGAGCTCCAGCAGGCGAGACTGTGCACGAAAGGCGCCCGGCTCCAGGGCACGCAGGCTGTTGTTGTGCAGGTACAGGTGACGCAGGGCGGCAAGGGGCGCCAGGATGCCCGGCTCCAGGCCTGCGATGCTGTTGTCCTGCAGGAACAGTGTCTGCAGGCCAGAGGGAGGGAGGACTGGCAGGTGTTTACCACCCTGAGGGAGTGTCCTTCTAACATAGAGTCCCCATCTACCCACCTAGATACACATCCTTCCCTCCTGTTGTGGGCATTCCTAGCCTGCAACCCCATGCAGCTCCCACCTGCGTCCCAGGCGGGATTCCGGGTGGGACCACACGCAGCTGCAGGGCCCCACACTCCACCGTGGTGCTGTAGCAGCGGCAGTCGGCGGGACAGCCAGCGGTGCAGGGTGGGAGACTGAGCAGACGCAACAGCAACAGCAGCAGCAGCGCAGGAACCCCCTGGGCCATCTCCCGAGAGACACGCTGCGGACCACAAAGTCAGAGCGGCAGCCTCTTCACCAGCTTCCCTACAGTCAGGGCCCGGATGGGATGCACTTCCTGAAACATAGTTTGGCGGGACTTCCCCTAACGCTTAAGAGCCAGTGAAGAGCATGAATGGAAGCTCACACCATGTCTAATGTTTGAAAAGTTATCAATCTAAGAAACTGATAAAATATTTCTTAACAAAAATAGTCAAGGATCTGCAGCATCAAGTTCCAATTTAGAGTTTCTGATGTCCTCTGTCTCGCACGCAGGCTACATGGGGAGAGCCGCCCCCCCTCCCCCCACCATCCCATCTCTGCTGGCTCTGTGAGGCTTCTTGTTCAGGTGTGTGGACACCTGGGTAGTGCAGTCCTCTACACCCTGGCAACCAGCCACTTTCTGGATCTAGGGTGCAAGAGGCTGGTGCAAGGCACGGGTTCAGGAGCCTGTGGATGGTGAAATCCAGGGCCCAGTTACCCAAGTGAGGGCCAGACGTAAAGCAGGCTCAGGCCGACATGTCCCCGTGTGCATGTGGACTCCTCACTCTGGGGACTGGGTGGGAGACCTTGTGTGGTGCAGAGCACAGGCCCCCACTGTGCTCCCAGAGTCCTTGTCCTCACCCCCACCTGCCTCACTCGAGTCCTTCATCCCTGAGCCTCGTGCTCTGTCCCTTGATGTGATAATCCACCTGTTGCCACTTCACAGGAGACAAGGGCGGAATTGGTCTCAGGGGAGCCACCAGCCACAGAAAAATCAAGGCACTGCCTTGTCCTGTCCCTGCCCTGAGGGTGGGGTGGGTGGAGCGGCTTACTTGGAGTGAAGGCTTGTTCTCAGGGAGCGTGTTAGAGAATGGGGTGATGAGGCAAACAACAGGGAAGAACATCATCTCGGAAACTACAGGCCTGTGTTCTCCATGCTGGCTCCCAAAAAGGTGCCTCTTCTGGGGGGTTGGTGGGGCCCTAGAATGGTTGGAGTGTGAAACAGGGCCCTTGGGCCACCAACTGGGTCCCTAGTATAGTTTCAGTAGCGACCTGGGCTGTGAACAGATGTGCAGTGTGCCGGAGGGTTGATTGTACACATGCAGCTGTGATCCTAGGGCCATGGGGAGGCCTGGGTCTACCGTCAGGCACCAGGAGTCCAGCTCTAATGATGGCAGCCTGGGCCGAGAAGCCAGCCAGGGATGGCACTCAAGCCCCACTTCAAATGGTTGCCACAGTGAACCACCCCCCACGTCGATCACCAGGTCTCCCTGCTATCCAGAGTGAGCCATGTAGAAAGGTACCAAGTAGCCTTGGTGTTTGCTTAAACCTTGCCCTAAGGTGTAACTCATGGTTATTTAAAGTCAGTAGAGATGAGGTAGGCACAGCAAAAGTTTTAATGGAATAGGTTTGGCCCAGGCAGAGGCAGTTCCCAGGTGTCTCAGGATGTGTGAGAACCCCAAGAAACTGGGAGACTTCTCTGGGCTCCTGGCATTCATCTCCTTGAGCAAAAGGGCAGACCTCGGGGCTCGCCCACACACCTAGCCTCCAGGGCAAGGCCTCTCCAGTAGAGAAGGTTCTTGGCTTTCTCCTTGGGACTCAAGGTACTGCTGCTCACACGGACACCCTTAGATGCGGATCCGTGTCGACGGGCCAGCGGGACAGGGATGAGGGCGCAGGTGGGAGGCACCGTGGAGGCCCGGCCACAAATCCTTTTACCCAGCGGACAACCCCTAATCCGGCTGGGCAGGGGTGAAGGGTCACGCCTACGCTTCGGAATAGCTGTCACTGCCTCCAAGACGCCGATCTGTGTGGGGCTGGGGGAGAAGGGAGGAAGGCCCGCGACCCGGTCTGGCGCAGTGCAAGCTGCGAGCCAGGAGCCTCGTTCCCCACAGCGTCCCCCGTGACCCCTCGAGCACAGGGCGTGGTCCCGCCAGGTCTCACGTCCTCCTTGGAGCGTGTCCTGGAGAGACCTGGGACTGCCCCCATCCCGCCCCCACGCCCGCTGACCTTGGGTCGGGCGCCCCCTCACCTGACGCTCCCGCGGCGCG